TGTCGAGTATGAGCGTTCATTAGGAATTGTTGCGACTCAATATTATGTTCATTAGTTGTTGAACGCTTTTCCCGCGCTTGACTATTATAGTTAGTGAACGCTCTTCCCGCCATTGTATTTATGACGTATTTTTATGCTGAGTCGTGACGTATTGTCTATGCCGTGTTGTGACGTATGTTTTAGCCGTGCGGCAGTCTTGAGTGGAACCTTGGAGTGATAGGATGTTTATTATATTTACTTAGATCTTAAAGTTATAGTTATTATGAAAAGGAATTGAGTTTGTTAATTGATAGTGAGAATAGTACGACTCTTCAACGTATGAAAGAACTGACGAATGTAATCAATCCAAGAAGACAGTAGGAGTTGACAATGTGCTGTTTGTTGTGTCATCAGGGGGTCGTTGACTAATCTAAGCACTATGAGTTGATTTGTGCTGTTGGTTGTGTCATCAGGGGGTCGTTGACTAATCTAAGCACTATGAGTTGATGGTGTGCTATTGGTTGTGTCATCAGGGGTCGTTGACTAATCTAAGCACTATGAGTTGATGATGTGCTATTGGTTGTGTCATCAGGGGTCGTTGACTAATCTAAGCACTATGAGTTGATAATGTGCTGTTGGTTGTGTCATCAGGGGTCGTTGACTAATCTAAGCACTATGAGTAGATGGTGTGCTGTTGGTTGTGTCATCAGGGGTCGTTGACTAATCTAAGTACTATGAGTTGATGGTGTGCTGTTGGTTGTGTCATCAGGGGTCGTTGACTAATCTAAGCACTATGAGTAGATGGTGTGCTGTTGGTTGTGTCATCAGTAGTCGTTGACTAATCTAAGCACTATGAGTTGATGGTGTACTGTTGGTTGTGTCATCAGGGGTCGTTGACTAATCTAAGCACTATGAGTTGATGATGTGCTATTGGTTGTGTCATTAGGGTCGTTGACTAATCTAAGTACTATGAGTTGATGGTGTGCTGTTGGTTGTGTCATCAGGGATCGTTGACTAATCTAAGCACTATGAGTTGATGGTGTGCTGTTGGTTGTGTCATCAGGGGTCGTTGACTAATCTAAGTACTATGAGTTGATGATGTGCTGTTGCTTGTGTCATCAGGGATCGTTGACTAATCTAAGCACTATGAGTTGATGGTGTGCTGTTGGTTGTGTCATCAGGGATCGTTGACTAATCTAAGCACTATGAGTTGATGGTGTGCTGTTGGTTGTGTCATCAGGGGTCGTTGACTAATCTAAGTACTATGAGTTGATGGTGTGCTGTTGGTTGTGTCATCAAGGGTCGTTGACTAATCTAAGCACTATGAGTTGATGGTGTGCTGTTGGTTGTGTCATCAGGGGGTCGTTGACTAATCTAAGCACTATGAGTTGATGGTGTGCTGTTGGTTGTGTCGTCAGGGGTCGTTGACTAATCTAAGTACTATGAGTTATGGTACGCTGTTTGTTGTGTCATCAGGGGGTCGTTGACTAGTCTAAGCACTATGAGTTGATGGAGTGCTGTGGTTTTTGTCATCAGGGGGTCGTTGACTAATCTAAGTACTATGAGTTGATGGTGTGCAGTTGGTTGTGTCATCAGGGGGTCGTTGACTAATCTAAGCACTATTTTTTGATGGTGTGCTGTTGGTTGTGTCATCAGGGTCGTTGAATAATGTTTTCAATTTTGTATATTTTAAATATTTAAATTCTCCATATTGCATGCAATATCCATGCAGATTTGGTGATATAAAATTTGAAGTAATTTATATGATCAAATATTTGGTAGATGATAATCTGAAGTCAGCCTCACAAACTTAAGTCACCCTCACAATCTGAAGTCATCCTCACAATCTGAAGTCATTCTCACAATCATAAGTCATCCTCACAATCATAAATCATCCTCACAATCAGAAGTCATCCTCACAATCAGAAGTCATCCTGACTACCAACACATAAGTAGGGAACAAACGAAGTACATAATTCGCCATTCGTAGAAAAATTCAACAGTATCAATGGATTTCTTCATGTGTCTTTTATTTACGTATTAACATTGGTAGCTGTGAGGTCATATACATTGTTGTGATCTTGAATTCAGGTTGATTTCTAATACAATAATTTTAGTCAATATTTCTATGTGTACCACTCTAAGATACTTAACAAAATTATTGTTCAACTCATGACGCGCATTTGAACACATACCAGTAATCGTTTTTGTGACATGTGTTTCAAAACTACAATTTCTACTCTCAATAATATCACGTCCCCAAAGTAGGTGAAGTCGTTCATAGGTATTGGTAGAGAGTAATGCTGTCGATCCTGTTGTCTTGGAGTCCTAACTCCTGCTCTGTGATAGGCTGTGTGTTCATGATGGAGTCATAACTGCTGCTATGTGATGACCTGTGTGTTCATAATGGAGTCATAACTGCTGCTATGTGATGACCTGTGTGTTCATGATGGAGTCATAACTGCTGCTATGTGATGGGCTGTGTGTTCATGATGGAGTCATAACTGCTGCTATGTGATGGGCTGTGTGTTCATGATGGAGTCATAACTGCTGATATGTGATGGGCTGTGTGTTCATGATGAAGTCATAACTGCTGCTATGTGATGACCTGTGTGTTCATGATGGAGTCATAACTGCTGCTATGTGATGACCTGTGTGTTCGTGATGGAGTCATAACTGCCGCTATGTGATGACCTGTGTGTTCATGATGGAGTCATTAACTGCTGCTATGTGATCAGCTGTGTGTTCTGATGGAGTCTTTACTCTAGCTATGTGATGGAATGTGTTCATAATGGAGTCATTACTCCTGCTATGTGTTGGAATGTATGTTCATGGTGGATTTATACTTAAAATAAGATATGGTACTTTCCTGGGCGTGGTCAAATCTTTTGAGCTGCGATGCACCATTAGGCGTGGTCACATCTTTTGAGCTACGATGCACCAGTTGGCGTGGTCAAATCTTTTGAGCTACGATGCACCAGTTGGCGTGATCATAGTAGGTCTCCTGTAACCGCAGGGAAGGCACGTAGTCGGTGATGAGTCTGACCAGCTCGCCCTGTTTAAAGACGTGGTAGTAACGGCTCAGACTTCTGTTGATCTGCTGATAATCGCAGGGAATGGTTGGCTGAACGTCAATGGTGGGTTGAACGGGAGGTTTTGGAGTTGCTGTTGGGGTGGGATCAAGGCGTCTCGTGCTGCGTGGCGAGCTGAATGTGGGTTCAAGGCATTTCGTGCTGCGTGGTGAGCTGGATGTTGGTTCAAGGCATGTCGTGCTGCGTGGTGAGCTGGATGTTGGTTCAAGGCATGTCGTGCTGCGTGGTGAGCTGGATGTGGGATCAAGGCGTCTCGTGCTGCGTGGCGAGCTGGATGTGGGTTCAAGGCATGTCGTGCTGCGTGGCGAGCTGGATGTGGGTTCAAGGCATGTCGTGCTGCGTGGTGAGCTGGATGTGGGATCAAGGCGTCTCGTGCTGCGTGGCGAGCTGGATGTGGGATCAAGGCGTCTCGTGCTGCGTGGCGAGCTGGATGTGGGTTCAAGGCATGTCGTGCTGCGTGGCGAGCTGGATGTGGGTTCAAGGCATGTCGTGCTGCCTGGTGAGCTGGATGTGGGTTCCAGGGATCTGGGCGTGTCTCGAGAGCATTTTCTACACCTGTCTTTTGATAATATGGGCGTGTCTTGAGAACAACTGGGCGTGTCTCGTCGGAAAATAGGAGTGTCTTTTAAGAGATTGGATGAGTCTTGTGGACCACTGTATAAGGGATGCCAACTTTCTAATAGCTCTCGAGTTCTGCTAATGAAACCAACCGGTTCCGTTATTTTAATTTCTTGGTCGTACTGATCAAGATCATTATTAACATGCTCAGATGAAGCTAAATTGCCACATGAATAATAACAATAGTTATCACTTTGTTCTTGCGTTCCACTCTCTTGGCGACCCGAGTCTCTCGCGTCCCCAGACGTCTTCTGGGTTTCGTTGATCTCTATTGAACTCGCGTTGTTTGACCTGTCCTGGAACGCCTCGGACCACATGGAGCTGACGGGTTGCTCCAAATCCAAAAGATCAAAAGAACCCATAGTGGGGCGGTCAGGTTGAATGGACATGCGTCTCTCGTGGGCGATGGTTACGGAATTCCCACAGGCGCCTGAGGTGGAACTGAAATAATCCCGAGAACAGTGGTTTGACGAGAAACCATCCCCGGGCTTGCTCTGGTGGGTTTCATTCAATTCATCCTGAAGTCCACTCGGACATGGAGAGTGAGTTACTTTGGTGTCTTTTCCAGGCTGCGTGTTATTTCTTGTATGATTGACTTGTGCAACACATTTGCTTTCGCTGTCACCGACAACAGCTGGCTGGACACTGCTCATGGGGAACTGACGTATGCCGAACTTAACCTGTTTCATTTCCCTGAACACAATCCTCGCCGAGCTGTCCAGTTTGTCGATGAGGCTCTCTTCGCTGACACCTTCCCCTAAAAGGGTCAGTGCGTCGGAGAGCGTCAGTTTCCTCTCTTCGTGTATGACCGAATCACGACGTGAAACTAACTGGGAGCTAGCTCTAGACCGCTTCTTGGTGAAGTCTAAAAAAGTGGGTCTTCTCCCCTTAATTAAGTTGTGCACATTTGAAGAAGCACGTCCGGTGTCCGGAGCCCTTTGTCCGGTGTTCGGAGCCCTTTGCAAGTTTCGATACGCTTCCTGTGAAGACATGAATGATATTTCACGGTAGTATTGAAGCATCCCCTCATCTGATTTCTTGTTAAACGTATTCCCAATTGGTCTCCTTGGTGCTGTCCCTCTTTGTCTCAGCTCTGCCATGGTTGGAGCACTTACTGGTTTCGCCACCGGTCTCAGGGCAGTGCTTTTTTTCTTCATTTGAAAAGCCTCTGTGATTTTGGAAAACATATTTCTGACACTCTGACTGATGGAAAAATTCTCGGCCTGGCACGGAGTGATGGTTGACTTTTCGTGACACCTTGCTCTGGCGTTTATATTGTTGATGGTGTTGTAATACGTGCTCGTTCCCTTGAAAAGTGATTCGCTCCCCATGATGTTCCCGGTTGGATATTGACTCGTGCTCGGAATGCCAAGAATGTCATCGATGAACGACAGCTCGCCGCCTGCTGTGTCCAACGAGACGCTTTGGTCTGACTCGCCCTCTTCGGACGAGCTGGTCTCCTCCGTTTCTGAATTTTGCCTGTCGAGAAACACTGAGTCGCTGCTGTACAGACTGGTGTCCTCAGAGAATGATTTCTGCTGACCGGCATTCGTTTTCTCCACCGTGGTTTGGCATGTGACGCTGATGCTTGACGAAACTTCGGGAGGTGTTTGGGAAAACAGGTCGAGACGTGTATTCTCCGACGTCGTATGGTTTACTGGACGGTTGAACACTTCTGAATTCGTAAACGTCACCGTAGATCGTGTGTCCAGGTCTTCACTGACCAATGTCGTGTCCGAGCACCAGGATGGACAGTCCGTGCTGGCTGCAGTGTCGGACCCACAGAAAGAAGAGCTGGCGTGGGGTCGAACCTCGTTGTTGGGGATGGTATCTTGTAGACTCGCGGACTGTCCCCAGACTTGACCAACTGACATGATGAGATCGTCATTGCTCAAAGAATTGAAGGCCTGTGTTGATAAATTATCATTCGGCTCGGCGTTATCCGAAAAGCGTTCTCTGGTTTTTGAAAGGTGTTCTCCTGTTTCTAAATGGTATTCTCCTGATTCTAAATGGTATTCTCCTGTTTCTAAATGGTGTTCTCCTGTTTCTAAATGGTATTCTCCTGTTTCTAAATGGTGTTCTCCTGTTTGTGAATGATATTCTCCTGTTTCTGAATGGTGTTCTCCGGTTTCCAAATGACCTTTTCCGGTTTTCGAATGCCGTACTCCGATTTCTGAATGGCGTGCCCCGGCCAGCTCCTCGCACAGATCACTACTGGACATCGTTTCCATCGTGTTAAAGGCATCCTTGTCTAACACTTCATTGAAATTAAACTCGACGTAATCATCCCCGCAAGAAGAGTCAGACTTGAATGACAAACTCCTCAGCAGCTTACCCAGCTTCCGGCATTCAGACACCAGTTGACTCGGGAGCTTTGCTAATTTACCTCCCACGACCTCAGAATCACTCAGTCCCCATGGGGTGATAACCGCATCACCGCTTTCAAGTTGACGGGTTTCACTGCCCGCAGTCCGTCTGGTCAACTTCCGGTCACTCACGCTCAGAACTCTGCCCACCTCGATGTCGTTGCCAGCTAGGAGATCTTCTGCCCCAAACCGTAGAGAGTCACGTTTTGAGTAAAGGCCGTCGTCAGAGAAGATGCGTCTTCTTGGATACGTTCCAAGACCATCCATGTTATCCCCTTGTCCACGTGTGGCTATGTCGATATTACCCTGGCCACGTGTGGGTATGTCGATTTTACCCTGGCCACGTGTGGGTATGTCGTTATCACCCTGTCCACGTGTGGGTATGTCGTTATTACCCTTGCTTTTTTCTCGTCTCGTGACTTCCCAGGCACCCTGGGACTTAACTCTCTTCCTGTGGGCCCTGTGATGAGAGGGCAAGGGTGACGTCCCTTTTGGATACTCGCTGTCGTCTGCCGAACAGCTGGTGTTAGTGTTCCGGTCCGGGTCATAGAGGTTAAGCCTTGAGTTACCTTGATTTATAAATAATTAAAATTATTAATTTAATAATGGTATCGAGCGAAGCAAAGGAAATAATTCATGTATCTCTAAAACTCATAGCATCTGCTTTTGTTTGGTTGGATAGGACTTATTTGTTTATAGCACTCAAAAGTATTCAATACTATCAGTATTCACCTATTAAGTCTTTGAAATAGACATATGACACTAAACTCGTACAAATCACCACTTAATAATTCAATCACCACTTAATAATTCAATCATTACTTAATCATTCAACTCCGAGGCATAAGAAAGAAAACTTGGGCATACTACAACTGATTGCCTTTGTTTACTTGGGCATAATACAAATGATTGCCTATGTTTACTGTGGCATTATACAACTGATTGTCTATGTTTACCTGGGCATAATACAACTGATTGTCTATGTTTACCTGGGCATAATACAACTGATTGTCTATGTTTACCTGGGCATAATACAACTGATTGTCTATGTTTACCTGGGCATAATACAACTGATTGTCTATGTTTACCTGGGCATAATACAACTGATTGTCTATGTTGACCTGGGCATAATACAACTGATTGTCTATGTTTACCTGGGCATAATACAACTGATTGCATATGTTTACCTGGGCATAATACAAATGATTGACTATGTTTACTGTAGCATAATACAACTGATTGCCTATGTTTACCTGGGCATAATATTACTGTTTGCATATGTTTACTTCGTCATGACGCAACTGATTGCCTATGTTTATGAAAATTTCACTAAAGATAAACTTGAAAGAAATTAGATTGAACACGGTTTTAACTTAATAAAACACATATCAGTAACCACTTCACAATGCCAGTCTACCAGCATGGTGTAACAATGCCATCACAATGCTAGTCTAACTGCAGGTTGTAAGAATTCCATCACAATGCTAGTCTACCAGCACGGTGTAAGAATAACATCACAATGGTAGTCTACCAGCACGGTGTAAGAATGCCATCACAATGCTAGTCTAACTGCAGGTTGTAAGAATTCCATCACAATGCTAGTCTACCAGCACGGTGTAAGAATAACATCACAATGGTAGTCTACCAGCACGGTGTAAGAATGCCATCACAATGCTAGTCTACCAGCACGGTGTAAGAATACCATCACAATGCTAGTCTAACAGCATGGTGTAATAATGCCATCACAATGCTAGTCTACCAGCACGGTGTAAGAATACCATCACAATGCTAGTCTAACAGCAGGGTGTAAGAATGCCATCACAATGCTAGTCTACCAGCACGGTGTAAGAATGCCATCACAATGCTAGTCTACCATCACGGTGTAAGAATGCCATCCCAATGCTAGTCTACCAGCACGGTGTAAGAATGCCATCCCAATGCTAGTCTACCAGCACGGTGTAAGAATGCTATCACAATGCTAGTCTACCAGCACGGTGTAAGAATTCCATCACAATGCTAGTCTACCAGCACGGTGTAAGAATAACATCACAATGCTAGTCTACCAGCACGGTGTAAGAATGCCATCACAATGCTAGTCTACCAGCACGGTGTAAGAATGCCATCACAATGCTAGTCTACCAGCACGGTGTAAGAATGATATCACAATGCTAGTCTACCAGCACAGTGTAAGAATTCCATCACAATGCTAGTCTACCAGCACGGTGTAAGAATGCTATCACAATGCTAGTCTACCAGCACGGTGTAAGAATGCCATCACAATGCTAGTCTACCAGCACGGTGTAAGAATGTCATCACAATGCTAGTCTACCAGCACGGTGTAAGAATGCTATCACAATGCAAGTCTACCAGCACGGTGTAAGAATGCGATCAAAATCCTAGACCACAATCACGGTGCTATCACCACTACCATGAATGTGCTAGACGGCTGACATTAAGCGACGTATACATTTACTTAAGATAAACAACTTTAATATCTACAAACTTTTGGTATTTGGTCGGACCCATGGGATGAGTACGTCCTGACAGTTGAACTGAAATATACAATAAGAAATCATAAGGAATAAAAAACAAAATGATAGAAACAAAATGATAGTCAGTAGTTAGAATATTAAGCTTTAAATAAACAGGAAATTATGGATCATCAATAGAGACGAAATAATGGACAAATTACCGAAGAACTAATTGATATTATACACGATAAAATAGTCAATAGGAAACAATAGAAAGGAAACTTTATAATTGAAAATAATATATAATAAAACATAGTCATATACACTATACACTAAATATTTGAAAATAGAATAGGTAAACATAAAGATTGCATGTATAACAATATCGATGACATAATTGATTTAAATTACACACAAAAAGTTGATAGTTTATACACACAAAAGATAACTATTGGTAAACGTCATGTAACGTCATTTTAATACAGGTAGGTAATCTTGGACCCCAGCGTTATGAAACGTTGTTTGCATCTTTGGGAATGCACATCAATTACTCTAGACACGTTGTGCACATCAATTACTCTAGACACGTCGTACACATCAATTACTCTAGACACGTTGCTGATACAATGGAAGACGGAACATGGGGGGGGGGTGGAATAAAAAACCCATTAGCTTTATACTGTTTGAAGGATGTCGTCTCATTCCAAGCATCGGTCGCCATTAGTAACTCGGCGTCATCCTCCTTGTCTAGCGGAGATTGTGACGCTCTCTGGCTTACGGACTTTATGCAAAAATTGTTGTTGTTTTTTTAAATCTACAGCTGTCATCTGATGTAACATTGGTTGAAACTAGGGGACACTTCATTAAGAAGCATTATTTGCAACAAAGTTCGACATTAAAACAGCCTTAGAACAGCAATAGAGTACATGTAGTTGTCGAGCAATGTATAAGTTATAAGTGAATGTTTTTTTTTTAAATTTTCTTTTTTCATATTGATCACCACTGGTGTCTTAGAGATAGTATCTCTTCCTCCTATTAATTTGTGTTTGTACTTTGAGGAAGATAAAAGCTGAACTTTTAGCATTTTGTTCATTGCAAAGTGAAACACGTGAAGACTTCAACGGCAAAAAACTGGAAATTATTATCATTTCAGAAAAAATCATTTTGGTTTCGTTGTAGCCAAAAAGTATTCAAAGACTTTGCAAGTAATTTGTTTGTTATAATTCTCCTTTCACTTAGTGATCCTATTGTACTTTGTAAATATGTATCGATAAATAGTTTTTTGGGTTTTTTTTTTAGATTATTGTTCTATCTTAAAAGACTCGACACATTCTGTGAATCACTGGAACGATTGATTTTAAAATCAATTAGTGCGTGTCTCCCTATATTCATGTTGTCTTTTCTTTTCCAATGTGTGTGTCACACTCTGTAGGTCTTACCTAGCCCCCAGTGTCTTACTTATCCTCACTGTGTCTCATTTAAGCCCTTCTGCCTTACTTTCACCACGTGTCTCAACTAGGTTTGTGTCTATTACCATTTCCGCTTCACAATTATCTTTTGTACGTCTTCTTTATCTTTCGTGTCTGAAACGCCTTAAATGTCTCAGTTAAAGTATTTTATGTAAGTCTAACTTACCTTCTGTTTAACTGTATGACCTATCTTCACATTCACCTTCCACGCCCCTGACTTACTTTTCTGTTGGTTTGTTCGACACATTCACCTTCCACGCCCCTGACTTACTTTTCTCTTGGTTTGTTCGACACATTCACCTTCCACGCCCCTCATTTACTTTTCTGTTGGTTTGTTCGACACATTCACCTTCCACGCCCCTGACTTACTTTTCTGCTCGTTTGTTCGACACATTCACCTTCCACGCCCCTGACTTACTTTTCTGCTGGTTTGTTCGACACATTCACCTTCCACGCCCCTGACTTACTTTTCTGTTGGTTTGTTCGAAAGCCCACACGTACACCATCAATTTGCCTCCAGGGGCCAAAACTCGAGACAATTCCCTAAGGGCGTTAACTCTTCTGTCCAGTGACGCAAAATGATGGATGACACCTGGAGATTTCAATAAGAACAAAATAAGTCAAGTTGAAAATTACTATCAGCACTGGTACATTTTAATTTCAATCCCATTGGACGGGCGCCGGCTCTTGCAACGTTATTTTAAAATCTGATCTTTTTTCAAGACAGGAGGAGAATGGTAATATCATATGTCATAGATACTAGGAAGTAGTGGCGTAGCTAGGGTGAGGGTCACCAAGGGTGCTCTAAGATTTTGCCGTCTCCTTCCACGCAAAATCTCTACAGTTGGCCCAAAACGCACTAAGTTTAAAGGAAAAAAATGTACCCCCCCCCCTTTCTGCACTCCCTTCCTACGCCACTGCTAGGAACAACTATAATGTCGGTATTGTTATTAAGGTGTGGGGAGGGAGCTATTTACCAAGAGTAGACGTAGAAGACATTGAGTGGGCGGGGCCGTACCATTGGAAGATTCAAATTTCTTTCTTTCACAAAGTAACTCAATTATAAAGCCCCAGATCGAGTCAAAAAGTTAATGATAAATTGAAATGAAGAAAAATTGCTGACAGGTTTACATACACGCACCATTTGTCAGTTACTGTTTAAGCTTTCATCAAAAACTCTTTCGTTTTGATTGAGCGGTCCAGTCGTATCGATAAGATTGTTATTTTTTTTTTTTTAAAAAGCAACAACAGTAGTTTAGAAGAGAGAGCTTTAGTTTTAAAACGGTTAATTAGTTTGTCATGATTTGAAATGTAGCGCGCAGTCCCCAGATCTTGTGCTGTGTGTTTGTCGTATGTGTGATTGGGCATCTGAGTGTGCTTTTTATTCGAAGATTATGAGTAGCAGTAATGCTAGTGTCGTGTGACTCCGTCCGTGAGTCATAGTGAGTAAATGTGTGAGAGTGTCAGTGAGTGAATGTGTGAAACGTTCAAAAAGTAATTGACACATTTTCCTGAAAGAGTTTAACATTTTTTTCTGAAGGATGTCTGAAGGATATCTGAAGGATGTCTGAAATATGTCTAATTGCGTTTTCTATTCATCTTTAGAGACAACGTTAATGTTTTGAATACATAATGGGGACACAGGTCAGTGAAAGCTTTGAGCGCCACCGGCACATACAAATACATATGTACCAATAGAACAAACTGCATCAAAGACTCCGTCTCTGTAGGGCAAGGTCATGTTGTCAGCCATGAGGACCTCGTGACCTTGACATCTGGCTTGGTCCAAAAATGGTCGGCAGATGTCGGATCCGAACTTCAGCACTTGTGGGTTGACACTGAGGTACCTGCCACTTCCGCAACCTGTTGTAAACAATAAGAACGTTTATGTCATACCTGAATCATTGTAGCGTCTTAACTTCAAAACCACTACAAGGCTACTACAAGGCTACTACAAGGCTACTACAAGACTACTACAAGACTACTACAAGACTACTACAAAGCTACTACAAGACCACTACAAGGCTACTACAAGACTACTACAAGGCTACTACAAGGCCACTACAAGGCTACTACAAGACTACTACAAGGCTACTACAAGACTACTACAAGACTACTACAAGACCACTACAAGGCCACTACAAGGCTACTACAAGACTACTACAAGGCTATTACAAAACAACTACAAGACTACTACAAGACTACTACAAGGCTACTACAAGACTACTACAAGACTACTACAAGGCTACTACAAGACTACTACAAAACTACTAAAAGACTACTACAAGACTACTACAAGACTACTACAAGACCACTACAAGGCCATTACAAGGCTACTACAAGACTACTACAAGGCTACTACAAGACCACTACAAGACTACTACAAGGCTACTACAAGACTACTACAAGACTACTACAAGGCTACTACAAGACCACTACAAGGCTATTACAAGACTACTACAAGGTTACTACAAGACCACTACAAGACTACTGAAAGATCACTACAAGACCACTACAAGACCACTACAAGACCACAATACAAGGCTACTACAAGAGCACTACAAGACCACTACAAGACTACTACAAGACTACTGCAAGACTACTACAAGACCACTACAAGACCACTACAAGGCTATTACAAGACTACTACAAGGCTACTACAACACCACTACAAGACTACTGAAAGACCACTACAAGACCACTACAAGACCACTACAAGACCACTACAAGACTACTACAAGACTACTACAAGACTACTACAAGACTACTACAAGACTATTACAAGACCACTACAAAACCACTACAAGACTACTACAAGACTACTGCAAGACTACTACAAGACTAATACAAGACCACTACAAGACTTATACAAGACCACCAGAAGACCACTACAGAACCATTACAAAACTACAAAAAGACTACATAAGTTCATTTTGCACGAGGCTTTGTAGATTCTTTAAGACTATCAATGATCAATCGTCTGATTAGTTAACTCAGAACTTTGTTGGCCTGCGTTTCCAGTCATAGCAGTTTTTTCCCCCCCCCCCCCCCCGAAACTCTTTTCCCCAAATTTGAAATAATCCTGTGTTTAAAATGTCCTTCTTTATTATTTTTTTTTTTTAAAATTATGCTGTAAATCAACGTTAGATTTTGCAACCAACAAAGTTCGTCAATTCTTGTTTTTTGCTCTTGTTTCTAAAAATGGGGTGAGGGGTGGGATGATAGTTACCACATGTGACACTTTTTAAAATGTTTAATGCGAACAGTGTATGTTACATGTCTGTGATAGGGTGAAATTTTTGTAGTTCCCCCTGGTATCAATTAGTTTATAGATACGCCACTGTATATCACACAAAGACTGCATATCCACTTCCTGTGTATGGGGTATTTGGGGAAACAAAGACTTTTCATGATTTCATATTAGCACTTGACCCTACAATTAAATGATCCAACTAAACGACTTTCTAAGACATGATCCAACTAAATGACTTTGTAACACATGATCCAACTAAATGACTTTCTAAGACATGATCCAACTAAATGACTTTCTAAGACATGATCCAACTAAATGACTTTGTAACACATGATCCAACTAAATGACTTTGTAACACATGATCCAACTAAATGACTTTCTAAGACATGATCCAACTAAATGACTTTGTAACACATGATCCAACTAAATGACTTTCTAAGACATGATCCACCTAAATGACTTGCTAAGACATGATCCAACTAAATGACTTTCTAAGACATGATCCAACTAAATGACTTTCTAAGACATGATCAACCTAAATGACTTTCTAAGACATGATCCACCTAAATGACTTTCTAAGACATGATCCACCTAAATGACTTTCTAAGACATGATCCAACTAAATGACTTTCTAAGACATGATCCAACTAAATGACTTTCTAAGACATGATCCAACTAAATGACTTTCTAAGACATGATCCACCTAAATGACTTTCTAAGACATGATCCACCTAAATGACTTTCTAAGACATGATCCAACTAAATGACTTTCTAAGACATGATCCACCTAAATGACTTTCTAAGACATGATCCAACTAAATGACTTTCTAAGACATGATCCAACTAAATGACTTTCTAAGACATGATCCAACTAAATGACTTTCTAAGACATGATCCAACTAAATGACTTTCTAAGACATGATCCACCTAAATGACTTTCTAAGACATGATCCAACTAAATGACTTTCTAAGACATGATCCAACTAAATGACTTTCTAAGACATGATCCAACTAAATGACTTTCTAAGACATGATCCAACTAAATGACTTTCTAAGACATGATCCAACTAAATGACTTTCTAAGACATGATCCAACTAAATGACTTTCTACGACATCTTTTTTTTTTTTACACCCAAAACTTCTGAACGACTCAGTAATGGTAAATAATTGATTAAATTCATGAGAAGTAACTGAATGCAAATTCCTGCAGGAGCGTGGGGTCATTGGTTACAGAGCAACTTTTGATTCAAGGACGTTCTCGGATAAAACATAAACGCAAGTTGCATAATTGCAAGCTCAGAACTTGACAGTCTTTGCAAATGTCATTTGATCTTAGTTACATTAAATTTGGAATTTCATACCATTCAGGATCTAATAATGACGATGTCTGCGAACCATCTGACATAGGCAATGTCATTTATTTAAAAAAAAAAAAATAGGAATGAAACTGGGACAGAATATCATCCCGGCCGGGACACAGCTGCCGGGACGATCTCGGTCGAACCAGACCTTACGTATAATCCAGCGGTATGCTTATATGAACTTATACATAGCAGCGGTAAGCTTAAAAGAACTTGTATATAGCAGCGGTATGCTTATAAGAACTTACATATAGCAGCTGTATGCTTATATGAACTTAATATAGCAGCGGTATGCTTATATGAACTTCTATATAGCAGCGGTATGCTTATATGAACTTATATATAGCAGCGGTATGCTTTTATGAACTTAATATAGCAGCGGTATGCTTATATGAACTTAATATAGCAGCGGTATGCTTATATGAACTTATATATAGTAGCGTTATGCTTATATGAACTTATATATAGCAGCGGTATGCTTATATGAACTTATATATAGCAGCTGTATGCTTATATGAACTTATATATAGCAGTGGTATGCTTATATGAACTTATATATAGCAGCGGTATGCTTATATGAACTTATATATAGCAGCGGTATGCTTATATGAACTTATATATAGCAGCGGTATGCTTATATGAACTTATATATAGCAGCTGTATGCTTATATGAACTTATATATAGCAGCGGTATGCTTATATGAACTTATATATACCTGGTAACACTGGACTGTCTATATATGAAGCTAACCAACCAATATAACTTAAATCATTTCTTGATATTCTTCTCCTGCTGACGTCCAAGTTTCGTTATATTGTCTCACAAAACAAAACCAATGACTCAACTGAATTCTGTCCCACAATAGATTGTAACCTTTCTGACCGTTTGGAAGTCATTGCACTGAAATATTTGTGCACTGGCTTAACAGAAGTAGCGGACACAAAGGTTTGAGAATTTGTTCAAATCAATGAACTATGCCACGGCTAAGCCTCTAGGTCAGGCTATATCCATACTCGTTACAGGAGTAGAAGGGGTGTTGAGGGGAGCTGGAGAACGGGGAGGTTAAGGTCCGTTCCAGGCAGTATTTTTTTCTTTATCTTTAAAGGCGTCATTTTAGAATCCAGGTCAACTGAATACTTTTTCCTTCCGTAGCGACTGATATATGGGCCCACCCCGTGCAGCACTAACCCTGCGCCACTGATACTGTTGTTCTGTTAAATCAAAGAACACATGTCTCAACATAGACTGCCATAAGAAAACTTACTGAATATTTTGAGTTTTTTCTTAATGAACTTGTTAAATATTATCTCAATACGAAAAGAAGAGCAAAATGTATTTAAATTTGCCTAGACCAGTTTGTATGTAATATAATCGAGGTTTTCCGTTCCGGTAAGTGTGCGTGCCGTGCCGCCTGGGGCGAGCCAATACTTTTGCCACGTCCATCATCATGTCATCAGTGGTGTTACAGCCCATGTTGGGCCCTGGCCTGCTTCACCACATCCTTCGATTTGGATCGATCCATGGCTTTCCGCCTCCATGCGCGAAATCCCTCACTCAGCTGGTGTAAGTTCTTCTCGACATCGTCGATCCATCTCAGTCTTGGTCGACCGGTGAGCTGTCTGCCCCTAAGTTTCTGCCTGTGTATCACTTTTGCTGCTCTACAATGGAAGCTATGACAACAATACACTTGACACTTACACACACAAATTGCAGTATTACATTTATATCCAATAAAAGATATGCAAAATACACCATTACATCCATTTATAAAAGAATTCAATAATCTTTACATGAACTCCTTAGAATATCCAAACATGATTAGATTGAAATGCCATTAGATGCACTCACCTACATCAGCGACCAGAGGCCCTGGTTGAAGACCCTTCAGATTAGACGCACTCACCTACATCAGCGACCAGGGACCCTGGTTGAAGACCCTTCAGATTTGATGCACTCACCTACATCAGCGACCAGGGACCCTGATTAAAGACCCTTCAGATTAGACGCACTCACCTAAATCAGCGACCAGAGACCCTGGTTAAAGACCCTTCAGATTAGACGCACTCACCTACATCAGCGACCAGAGACCCTGGTTAAAGACCCTTCAGATTTGATGCACTCACCTACATCAGCGACCAGGGACCCTGGTTAAAGACCCTTCAGATTTGATGCACTCACCTACATCAGCGACTAGAGACCCTGGTTAAAGACCCTTCAGATTTGATGCACTCACCTACATCAGCGACCAGGGACCCTGGTTGAAGACCCTTCAGAAACTGTTTGACGTTCGGCCAAGCCTTGTGCCTGACGTGGTCACATTGTGGGGCTATCCTTTGATACACCTGTTTTGGTGGACATTTGGCAGATATGAAATCTTTATATGTTGTCGAATGTGCTGAAAGCGACAAATTACTATGTGACAAACATCAACTAATAAATGAAAATAATGGTTGAGTTCGTTTTCCTGAAAAATCTCGATTTGTTAATTTTCAAGACTAAATTAGCGTGTATGTATTTTTCAGACGTAGCTTACAAGTCTATAGCTGATCAAATATGAGTTGTACCCCTCCCCTTCGCTCCCCCATATGTTTATTCTTGAAATGGAACCCCTTATGTTTGTATATCGCGGAATTTTTGTTTGTCAAAGCGTGCATTTAAAGCACACAATTAATTGCAAGCAATTATTACAGGAATGTTTTCAAAAGTGAAAAATATCATATATTAAACATGTTGACTGGCGATAGACATATGGTGCATTTAACTGTCAGACTTATGGTGCATTTAACTGTAAGACATATGGTGCATTTAACTATCAGACTTATGGAGCATTAAACTGTGGGACATATGGAGCATTAAACTGTGGGACATATGGAGCATTAAACTGACCGACATATGGTACATTTAACTGTCGGAGCAATTACCGGAAAATATGTCATTATCCCTAAATCCGATCCCAATAGTTCGAGATTTTTTTTCTCTTTAAAATCCAAAAATTAATATTATAAATGTGATCATGACGTGGACTGTAGGCTTGGAAATACCAAGTAAGGAAGTTTTGATAAGGCAAATAATGTCTTAAATATTACACTGTTACAGGCACGTTCTTAGGCATACGCTGACTACGCATCCGTGTAGGCTACATCAACGCTGCACAAGGCTACATCAACGTTGCACAAGGCTACATCAACGTCACACAATGCTACATCAACACTGCACAAGGCTACATCAACGCTGCACAAGGCTATATTAACGCTGCACAAGGCTACATCAACGCTGCACAAGGCTATATTAACGCTGCACAAGGCTACATCAACGCTGCACAAGGCTACATTAACGCTGCACAAGGCTACATCAACGCTGCACAAGGCTACATCAACGCTGCACAAGGCTATATTAACGCTGCACAAGGCTACATCAACGCTGCACAAGGCTACATCAACGCTGCACAAGGCTACACTTACGTTGCACAAGGCTACATCAACGCTGCACAAGGCTACATCAACGCTGCACAAGGCTACATCAACGCTGCACAAGGCTACATCAACGCTGCACAAGGCTACATCAACGCTGCACAAGGCTATATTAACGCTGCACAAGGCTACATCAACGCTGCACAAGGCTACATCAACGCTGTCTGCACACGGCTGCATCAACGCTGCACACGGCTACATCTACGCTGCACACGGCTACCTCAACGCTGCACAAGGCTATATCAACGCTGCACACGGCTACATCAACGCTGCACAAGGCTACATCAACGCTGCACAAGGCTACATCAACGCTGCACAAGGCTATATTAACGCTGCACAAGGCTACATCAACGAACGCTACACAAGGCTACGATAACGCTGCACAATGCTACATTAACGCTGCACAATGCTACATAACGCTGCAAAAGGTTACATTAACGCTACACAAGGCTACGATAACGCTGCACAATGCTACATTAACGCTGCACAAGGCTACATCAACTCTGCACAAGGCTACATCAACCCTTCACAGTGCTACATCAACAATGCACAAGGCTACATTAACGCTGCACTTGGTAACATTAACGCTGCACAAGGCAACATTAACGCTGCACAAGGCAACATTAACGCTGCACAAGGCTACATTAACGCTGCACACGGCTACATAACACTACACAAGGCTACGATAACGCTGCACAAGGCTACATTAACGCTGCACAAGGCTACATTAACGCTAAACAAGGCTACGATAACGCTGCACAATGCTACATTAACGCTGCACAAGGCTACATCAACTCTGCACAAGGCTACATCAACCCTGCATAAGGCTACATCAACGCTGCACAAGGCTACATTAACGCTGCACAAGGCTACATTAACGCTGCACAAGGCTACATTAACGCTGCACAAGGCTACATCACGCTACACAAGGCTACGATCACGCTGCACAAGGCTACATTAACGCTGCACAAGGCTACATTAACGCTGCACAAGGCTACATTAACGCTGCACAAGGCTACATTAACGCTGCACAAGGCTACATTAACGCTGCACAAGGCTACATTAACGCTGCACAAGGCTACATTAACGCTGCACAAGGCTACATTAACGCTGCACAAGGCTACATTAACGCTGCACAAGGCTACATTAACGCTGCACAAGGCTACATTAACGCTGCACAAGGCTACATTAACGCTGCACAAGGCTACATTAACGCTGCACAAGGCTACATTAACGCTGCACAAGGCTACATTAACGCTGCACAAGGCTACATTAACGCTGCACAAGGCTACATTAACGCTGCACAAGGCTACATTAACGCTGCACAAGGCTACATTAACGCTGCACAAGGCTACATTAACGCTGCACAAGGCTACATTAACGCTGCACAAGGCTACATTAACGCTGCACAAGGCTACATTAACGCTGCACAAGGCTACATTAACGCTGCACAAGGCTACATTAACGCTGCACAAGGCTACATTAACGCTGCACAAGGCTACATTAACGCTGCACAAGGCTACATTAACGCTGCACAAGGCTACATTAACGCTGCACAAGGCTACATTAACGCTGCACAAGGCTACATTAACGCTGCACAAGGCTACATTAACGCTGCACAAGGCTACATTAACGCTGCACAAGGCTACATTAACGCTGCACAAGGCTACATTAACGCTGCACAAGGCTACATTAACGCTGCACAAGGCTACATTAACGCTGCACAAGGCTACATTAACGCTGCACAAGGCTACATTAACGCTGCACAAGGCTACATCAACGCTGCACAAGGCTACATTAACGCTGCACAAGGCTACATTAACGCTGCACAAAGCTACATTAAAGCTGCACAAGGCTACATTAACGCTGCACAAGGCTACATCAACGCTCCACAAGGCTACATTAACGCTGCACAAGGCTACATCAACGCTCCACAAGGCTACATTAACGCTGCACAAGGCTACATCAACGCTGCACAAGGCTACATTAAGGCTGCACAAGGCTACATTAACGCTGCACTTGGCAACATTAACGCTGCACAAGGCAACATTAACGCTGCACAAGGCTACATAACGCTCCATTAACACTTCTTTTTTTTTAAACGGTGTTTAAGTATCCTTCAAAAATCTCTGAGACAAAAACCAAGAGAATTAGCCAAACAGGTTTGATGGGCTTCTGAGAGGGGAACATGGATCATTGAGTGTGACTTTAAGGGAACATGGATCATTGAGTGTGACCTTGAGGAAACATGGATCATTGTGTGTGACTTTAAGGGAACATGGATCATTGAGTGTGACTTTAAGGGAACATGGATCATCGAGTGTGACTTTAAGGAAACATGGCTAGTTGAGTGTGACTTTAAGGGAACATGGATCATTGAGTGTGACTTTAAGGAAAAATGGCTATTTGAGTGTGACTTTAAGGGAGCATGGATCATTGAGTGTGACTTTAAGGAAACATGGCTAGTTGAGTGTGACTTTAAGGGAGCATGGATCATTGAGTGTGACTTTGAGAGAGCATGGATCATCGAGTGTGACTTTAAGGAAACATGGCTAGTTGAGTGTGACTTTAAGGGAGCATGGATCATTGAGTGTGACTTTGAGAGAACATGGATCATCGAGTGTGACTTTAAGGAAACATGGCTAGTTGAGTGTGACTTTAAGGGAGCATGGATCATTGAGTGTGACTTTGAGAGAACATGGATCATCGAGTGTGACTTTAAGGAAACATGGCTAGTTGAGTGTGACTTTAAGGGAGCATGGATCATTGAGTGTGACTTTGAGAGAACATGGATCATCGAGTGTGACTTTAAGGAAACATGGCTAGTTGAGTGTGACTTTAAGGGAGCATGGATCATTGAGTGTGACTTTGAGAGAACATGGATCATCGAGTGTGACTTTAAGGAAACATGGCTAGTTGAGTGTGACTTTAAGGGAGCATGGATCATTGAGTGTGACTTTGAGAGAACATGGATCATCGAGTGTGACTTTAAGGAAACATGGCTAGTTGAGTGTGACTTTAAGGGAGCATGGATCATTGAGTGTGACTTTGAGAGAACATGGATCATCGAGTGTGACTTTAAGGAAACATGGCTAGTTGAGTGTGACTTTAAGGGAGCATGGATCATTGAGTGTGACTTTGAGAGAACATGGATCATCGAGTGTGACTTTAAGGAAACATGGCTAGTTGAGTGTGACTTTAAGGGAGCATGGATCATTGAGTGTGACTTTGAGAGAACATGGATCATCGAGTGTGACTTTAAGGAAACATGGCTAGTTGAGTGTGACTTTAAGGGAGCATGGATCATTGAGTGTGACTTTGAGAGAACATGGATCATCGAGTGTGACTTTAAGGAAACATGGCTAGTTGAGTGTGACTTTAAGGGAGCATGGATCATTGAGTGTGACTTTGAGAGAGCATGGATCATCGAGTGTGACTTTAAGGAAACATGGCTAGTTGAGTGTGACTTTAAGGGAACATGGATCATTGAGTGTGACTTTAAGGGAGCATGGATCATTGAGTGTGACTTTGAGAGAACATGGATCATTGAGTGTGACTTTAAGGAAACATGGCTAGTTGAGTGTGACTTTAAGGGAGCATGGATCATTGAGTGTGACTTTGAGAGAGCATGGATCATCGAGTGTGACTTTAAGGAAACATGGCTAGTTGAGTGTGACTTTAAGGGAACATGGATCATTGAGTGTGACTTTAAGGAAACATGGCTAGTTGAGTGTGACTTTAAGGGAACATGGATCATCGAGTGTGACTTTAAGGAAACATGGCTAGTTGAGTGTGACTTTAAGGGAACATGGATCATCGAGTGTGACTTTAAGGAAACATGGCTAGTTGAGTGTGACTTTAAGGGAGCATGGATCATTGAGTGTGACTTTGAGAGAGCATGGATCATCGAGTGTGACTTTAAGGAAACATGGCTAGTTGAGTGTGACTTTAAGGGAGCATGGATCATTGAGTGTGACTTTGAGAGAACATGGATCATCGAGTGTGACTTTAAGGAAACATGGCTAGTTGAGTGTGACTTTAAGGGAGCATGGATCATTGAGTGTGACTTTGAGAGAACATGGATCATCGAGTGTGACTTTAAGGAAACATGGCTAGTTGAGTGTGACTTTAAGGGAGCATGGATCATTGAGTGTGACTTTGAGAGAACATGGATCATCGAGTGTGACTTTAAGGAAACATGGCTAGTTGAGTGTGACTTTAAGGGAGCATGGATCATTGAGTGTGACTTTGAGAGAACATGGATCATCGAGTGTGACTTTAAGGAAACATGGCTAGTTGAGTGTGACTTTAAGGGAGCATGGATCATTGAGTGTGACTTTGAGAGAACATGGATCATCGAGTGTGACTTTAAGGAAACATGGCTAGTTGAGTGTGACTTTAAGGGAGCATGGATCATTGAGTGTGACTTTGAGAGAACATGGATCATCGAGTGTGACTTTAAGGAAACATGGCTAGTTGAGTGTGACTTTAAGGGAGCATGGATCATTGAGTGTGACTTTGAGAGAACATGGATCATCGAGTGTGACTTTAAGGAAACATGGCTAGTTGAGTGTGACTTTAAGGGAGCATGGATCATTGAGTGTGACTTTGAGAGAACATGGATCATCGAGTGTGACTTTAAGGAAACATGGCTAGTTGAGTGTGACTTTAAGGGAGCATGGATCATTGAGTGTGACTTTGAGAGAGCATGGATCATCGAGTGTGACTTTAAGGAAACATGGCTAGTTGAGTGTGACTTTAAGGGAGCATGGATCATTGAGTGTGACTTTGAGAGAGCATGGATCATCGAGTTTGACTTTAAGGAAACATGGCTAGTTGAGTGTGACTTTAAGGGAGCATGGATCATTGAGTGTGACTTTAAGGGAACATTGATCTTTTAGTGTGACTTTAAGGGAACATGGATCATTGAGTGTGACTTTATGAGAACATTGATCTTTCAGTGTGACTTTAAGGGAACATGGATCATTGAGTGTGACTTTAAGAGAACATGGATCTTTTAGTGTGACTTTAAGGGAACATGGATCAATGAGTATGACTTAAAGGGAGCGTGAGTATTATGTGAGACTTTGAGGACACGTGGAGCATTATCTTTGACTTTGAGGGAACATGGAGCACTGGGTGATACTATGAGTGAACAATGAGTATTATCTGTAACTTTGAGGGAACATGGAATATTATCTGTTGTTGAAGGAACATGGAGTATTATCCGTGACTTTTAGGGAACATGGAATATTATCTGTGACATGAAAGAGGAACTTAGAGTATTATATTTGACTTTGAGGTAAAGTAGAGTATTGAGTGTGACTTTCAGGGAACATAGATTATTTTCGTTGACTTTGATGGAACATGGGGTATTGTGTGTGACTTTGAGGAACATTGGGTATTGTGTGTGACTTTGAGGTTCATGGAATATTGTATATTACTTTGAAGGAACATGGAGCATTGTATTTGACTTTGAAGGAACATGGAGTGTTGTGTGTGACTTTGAAGGAACGTGGAGAATTGTGTGTGACTTTAAAGGAACAAGGAGTATATGTGTGACTATGAAGGAACATGGAGAATTGTGTGTGACTTTGGAGGAACATTGTGTATTGTGTGTGACTTTGAGAGAATGACGGTTTTTGTGTGAATGCTGATTGGATGTAAGACATAATGATGATGATAGACTGTACCAGTACGACAGAATGATGATTTTTTGTACCGGTACGACAAATGAACTGAAGGTATTTTTGTACTCACCTGATGAACATGGCTGGCCTCTAGTCTCCGACATTTTGTATCCATCGACGCAGCAGAGACTGACGCATGAGGTGTTGGTTCGGACTTTTCATCTTGTTTCATTCGTTTATTATTCACACACCTTCCCGTCATCTTTGTGTTGCCTGGCCCACATATTGGAACACTTTGTGCCAAGTGTACATCAAGATACTCGCTCACCTTAGATGGTGGCCGTTCAGTTGTTCGTTGCTGCGTAAAGGCAAGGTCCGGTAAGCTTTGACATGATCTGACCCGAGAGTGCTCACCGCGACTGTTAAGGAATGATCTCACGAGCCTATCAGATACTAACATCAACTTAACTGGCAAACTGCCTGGGAAACTAAGTCTCTGTCTTGATCTGAAGTTACTTTTACCATTTGTAAGTTTCGGCGAACTCTCGCTGTTTTCAGTAATCAAGGTATTGCTATGTGACAGACAACAAGGAAAATTTGATTCATGTTTGTCACTCTTATCGTAGTTACTGGTGTCATAGTTACAAATAATCTGGGACGGTTGATGAAGCTGTGAATTGTCTGTATAGTGTTTTTGACGGATGCTTTGATTTGGGCTGTCCACGCACGGCCTTGAATGTGTCTCAACGGCTGGATTTAGTCTGGCCGTGTGACTGGCGTGATTACCGTTGAATTTGAGCTGATGAGATGTGTCATCTTTTGTAATCAAATCTCGTATGGAGAAGATGACAGATGACTGTGGCGTACAGCTGCTCTCTCCGTTCCGCAAGTTTGTTTGGGAGGAGTGATTCTTATAGGAGCATTTCCATTTCCGATCTTTAATTTCTACAGTTTGACACGTGGCGCAGCATGGACATCTGGGATCTGACAAATCCCCGAAAGCCGTTAAATCCAGACTTTGATCTGATAATGATTGTCTGAGATTACTCTGCCTCGTGCCTCCATTTGTCATTGGTCGCGGGTCTTCGCTTGTTCTTTTGTCTTGAAATGGGTTATCGACCCTTGGAACGAGTTCAGGATGACCTACGACTTGGCGCACATCGTCCTCACGTGACATAGGATGACCTACGACTTGGGGCCTGTCGTTCTCACGTGACATAGGATGACCTACGTCTTGGCGCCTGTCGCCCTCATGTGACATAGGATGACCTACGACTTGGGGCCTGTCGTTCTCATGTGACATAGGATGACCCACGACTTGGGGCCTGTCGCCCTCACGTGGCACAGGATCAAGCGTCTCCAAGTTCGAATCTTTTGTGTTCCTGACGCAAGGACGTCGGCTTGCCAACTGATACACAATGTTAGATTTTAAATCTTTGATGTGCCCACCTGTTGTGTGCCCACCTGTAGTGTCCCCACCTGTTGTGTGCCCACCTGTAGTGTCCCCACCTGTAGTGTGCCCACCTGTAGTGTGCCCACCTGTTGTGTGCCCACCTGTAGTGTCCCCACCTGTAGTGTGCCCACCTGTAGTGTGCCCACCTGTTGTGTCCCCACCTGTAGTGTGCCCACCTGTAGTGTGCCCACCTGTAGTGTGCCCACCTGTAGTGTCCCCACCTGTTGTGTGCCCACCTGTAGTGTCCCCACCTGTAGTGTGCCCACCTGTTGTGTGCCCACCTGTTGTGTGCCCACCTGTAGTGTGCACACCTGTTGTGTGCCCACCTGTAGTGTGCCCACCTGTAGTGTGCCCACCTGTAGTGTGCCCACCTGTAGTGTGCCCACCTGTAGTGTGCCCACCTGTGGTGTGCCCACCTGTAGTGTGCCCACCTGTAGTGTTCCCACCTGTATTGTGCCCACCTGTAGTGTCCCCACCTGTTGTGTGCCCACCTGTAGTGTCCCCACCTGTAGTGTGCCCACCTGTTGTGTGCCCACCTGTTGTGTGCCCACCTGTTGTGTGCCCACCTGTAGTGTGCCCACCTGTAGTGTGCCCACCTGTAGTGTGCCCACCTGTTGTGTCCCCACCTGTAGTGTGCCCACCTGTAGTGTGCCCACCTGTTGTGTTCCCACCTGTAGTGTCCCCACCTGTAGTGTGCCCACCTGTTGTGTGCCCACCTGTTGTGTGCCCACCTGTTGTGTCCCCACCTGTAGTGTGCCCACCTGTTGTGTGCCCACCTGTAGTGTGCCCACCTGTAGTGTGCCCACCTGTTGTGTGCCCACCTGTTGTGTGCCCACCGGTCTTCTGTGTCCCAGTTGTTGCCATAAATGGCCACGAGCGTGATGCCTGTGCGCTTTCGTAAACGTTACACTCTCCGGTCCACTGAAGCATCTCCGCCTGAAATGTCTCAGACTTCATTGAGAGTGTGCTTAAACCCCAGCTGACCTGGTCAGCACACGTGTAAGGCGACCTGGAAGTGTCAGAATCGTTCCCCAGACACGTAGCGATGATTGATGGATTCATTGAATGTGACGCAATGGCAGCCACGGCCTCGTGGATTAACTGATGACATGATTGTGTCTGACATGCAATCCCATGTCATCTTAATCGGTCCCATCACACACGTCTGGTCTAGATGAGTCGTGTCTCCATCAGGCCTGTGTTAAATATTATTATTAATATTATTAATATTATTATTAGTGGTCTTAAATAGCGTGTACCCAAGCCTAGGGCTGGGCTTACCGCGCTGTGCATAAAATATTAGCAAACATAATCATGACATTAAACAATCAAATTCTTTTATTTAATTTAAAAACCGCCATATAACAACACCAAAAAAACAACAACAAATGTATACTCCCACCAACCACCTCAGAACGTTTACATGTCAAGCCATGGACAGCAACCAGCAGCTTCGTTTATCGGATATTGAGGGAGGGGGGGGGGCACTCAGTCGGTATAGTAGAGTTTAAGAGATGTGTTTTGAGGGCTGTTTTGAAGTCCTGGGTGGTCGGTATATTGCGGATGTGTAGTGGGAGACAATTCCATTGTTTGGGGGTGCAGAAAGAGAAAGATCAATGCCAGAAGCCAACAGGATCAGATCAAAAGTTGAAATTAGAGAACTGATAATAATTATGAGTGTTTAAACCCCTTATGCGGGTTGTTGGGGGGGGGGGGTTAGAAATTGTTATCTAAAATATGTGACAGTTGTTTTTTTCTTCCCTTTTAACTTGTTAAGTTATATTTTTAAAACGTTTTGATGCGTTTGGAAGACATAGTTAGGGTTGGGTTTAGGGTTAGGGTTAGAGTTAACTTTTCGAGCATTTTAAATTGAGTAATTGTATATTTTAATATAAATTGTAAACGAAAATAAAATGATTAGATAAGCTAAAGAGTAATTTCTTTATCTTGAGACGTTTAAACTAAAGGTATGAGTTTGATTCTCTGGTGTAAAAAATTATCTGTCGATTCACGATTGAAAGTGCCTGCTTGTTAATATTATCGTTATTCTAATAAAACATTATAGAAACAAATGGACATTGAACACTATTTCAAGGGCAAACAAACGGAGCATATAGAAATACGAATGAATGTGTCGGTAATATTTAATATTAAAGAAGTCCCAGCTTCGCTTGGCGGGCCATGTTGTGAGAAGTCCAAGCTTCACTTGGCGGGCCATGTTGTGAGAAGTCCCAGCTTCGCTTGGCGGGCCATGTTGCGAGAGTGTCAGACGACCGCTTGTCCAAAATTATATTTCATGTTGAGCTCAAGCAGGGCAGGTGGTTTCTTGTGGGACAGAACAAACCCCGCTTCAAAGACATCCTGAAAGCATCTTTGAAAACATGTCACATTGATTCGGACAAGTGGGAACAGTCCTCAAAGAAGCGAGACTTGTGACGTGCTTCCCCTACACAAGGTTTCCTTGCTACATGAGACTGACAGAACGGTTGCTGCAGATCCCAATCCTTGCTACATGAGACTGACAGAACGGTTGCTGCAGATCACAAGAGACACGCCAGAAAAGCTGGAGTTAACTCTACACCTGGAGTTGTTGCATCACCCCATTGAACCCCATTGCACCCCATTGCACATTCTATCGGAACGTTTCTTGCCGGTATCGGCCTGATCAGCCATCTGCGCACCCACATACTGTTTGAGCCCCAGCGACAAGCCGATATTGAAAATGGTCATGATCGACTTGCGAATTATCGTTAAAATACACGTCGTAACCAGCCTATCCGCTGCCTGCAAAGAGTTTGGCCTGACAATTAGCCAAAAGAAAACTAACATTATGGCGCAGGGCGCTGACTCCCTCCCCACTATCGCCATCGACGACTACGACTTGGATACTGTTGACAGATTCACATATCTGGGATCCAACATATCGAGCACCCTCTCAATGGAGGATGAGATAAGTGGAAGGAAAGGGAATGCCGCAACTGTTATGGCCAGACTGAAGAAAAGAGTCTGGTCAAACGCCAAGCTCACAACAAGAACTAAGCTGCAGGTGTACCAGGCCTGCGTACTGAGCACACTTCTGTATGGATGCGAGTCGTGGACCACATACTCTAAACACGAAAGAAGGCTCAATGGCTTCCACCACAGATGCCTGCGCCACATCCTTGACATTAAATGGCAAGACAAAGTCCCCAACACGGATGTCCTGTCCCAAACAAACATGTGTATTGTCCCAGTCATGTTAATCCAAAGTCGCCTCCGCTGGCTTGGACACGTCATGCGAATGCAATCTGGTCGCATACCAAAGGACGTGCTATACAGCGAGCTGGCAACAGGGAAAAGGTCAGTTGGACGGTCTCGTCTGAGATACTTAGACATATGCCAAAGAGACATGAAGTCCTCTAACATCGACATCTCAAACTGGGAGGAGTTGGCAGAGGATCAGGGCGGAAACAGCTGCAAAAAGAGCGAGGAGGAAGGCCGTTAAATACTGCTCCACCGCATTCGTGTGTGGGAAATGTAACAGAGACTGCCATTCGAGGATTGGTCTCACCAGCCACACCAAGAGCTGCAAGCAATAAAGATAATCTATCGTCTCCCGCAGACGGAAAGATGCCATACATACATATATACACGTCGTAACATAAGAAAACATACCAAGCCCGGTTTTTATGAAAACATTCACGACCGTAACCAACAATGTTTGTACCGATGAATTGTTTAGCTCACCTAGCACCTACAGTATGCCAAAGCCATCGGTAATATGGAGAAGAAAAAAAAGTGCGACAGCTAACCGGAACCGGAAATCACATGAAGAAAATCTGAACGAGAGCGCCAAGCTTCGAGATTAATCATCGCATTTTGAATAACTTTCAATCTGAGAAAGAGCTTGATCCTAATGCCTATAAAGTCTCATAGGCGGTCTCAACTTCTCAGCAGGCGAACAATTTGCATCGCGTTTTCTTCTCCCTGGGGAATTCGCGCCTCGCATTTCATTTTGAGCGTCTGCCATCAAGGCCAAACGTTTTATTCATTTCTTTGCCTTCAGTTTGCGTGTGACCACTGACAAGTCGAGCCGTCACGATGCTATGTCGAGCAACACTAGAGAGCGGATTCCTGCGGCTGGCTAATCCTTCTGACCACAGGTTCCACACGGGCTCTCAATGTTAAGACGGTTACCTAGGAGACCGTGCAGATTTCGTCCGAATGACTTGATCCGTCGACCACGGCTGGCATTGATTTCCGTGCACTGTATGCTGACGTCACCGACGCCGAATACATTCATTATTTATTTCTGAGCTGTCTCTTGATGTTTGGAGCATACCGATGAAACAGGAACGTTTTGGCCTTACAAGAACAGACACCAGAACGAATTTGAAGCCTCATTGGCATGGCTTAACAAAATAACAGAAAACCATTAAAAAAATATCAGAAAACTATTACAAAAAAAAGCAGACAACCATTACAAAAATATCAGAAAACTATTACAAAAAATCACAAAACTATTACAAAAAATATCAGAAAACTATTACAAAAAATATCAGAAAACCATTACAAAAAAATCAGAAAACTATTTCAAAAAATATCAGAAAACTATTACAAAAAAAATCAGAAAACTATTACAAAAAATATCAGAAAACTATTACAAAAAATATCAGAAAACTATTACAAAAAAAATCAGAAAACTATTACAAAAAATATCAGAAAACTATTACAAAAAAAATCAGAAAACTATTACAAAAAATATCAGAAAACCACTACAAAAAATATCAGAAAACCACTACAAAAAATATCAGAAAACCATTACAAAAAATATCAGAATACCATTATTATAAAAAATTTCATAAAACCATTTTAAAAATATCAGAATACCATTACAAAAACTATCAGAAAAACATAACAAAAAAGTGTTAATTCTAAA